TGAGGTATGGTTGCTTAATCTTAGATTTTTATTTTTTATTTTTGCTGCCTCAAATGTAATCTATTTTTTCCAACTCAAGTAAACTTAATTATTTACAGTAACACAACATTTGCATATAAATTATATATTAGAAAGAAGGATACCTCTATAAAGCAATTGTATATGGTTTTCTACCTTTCCTTCTATTCTATTACTTTGAATTCAGGTGATATGATCTCTCTTTAAACTTTTCCCAGGATTACTTTGCATTACTCTTTGAAAAGCATCTGCAGATAAAAGGTTATTTACTATAGCCCTTGCACTGGAAAATAAAAGTTAATAGGAAAAATATGTGTAAGCAGTGCAATGGTATCTGTCAGAAAGGCAATAATTTGGTTTCAAAAACCTGTCTAATCCTTTTTCTTTTCCTTCCACTGATACAAAATTGCATATCAAGTGACTCAAATGGACAAAAAGCAATGCCTGTAGGAAGCCCTAACAGAGGTTTTCCTCTGTCTTCTGTTTTCCTGTATGGCTCTTTCTAAGGGTGGGGAGTCACACATGACTAGTGGGTGCTGGGGCAGGACAACATTCCAGGGTTCTGGAAGGTAGATGTGTGGTTTGAATGTCTCCTCTGGTCATTTTAGTAGAGCCTTGCGGTGAATAACAGGTGTGGGCTCTCCTTCTCCCCTTGAAAACCAGTGCCCTGATCTTGATGAAGAAAATGTTTCAATAGAAAGTATTGGGGAGGGAATTAGATAACCCCTAAATTCTCTTCAAACTGAAATATTTTAGGTGCATTTTGTAGTTATGAGAGTTTAAGTAGCATATTTTTTAGAGCTATCTTTGTGATCAAGGGTGTGCACTAAAATTCTGGATCACAAATATGATTGTCAGGAAGGGATCCTGTACTCTGTGAGTCTCCAACAAGTAGGTTCCCATTTTTCTGCTGTACAGAGCAACATAGAGTAAATTAGGGCATAAATGTCACCTCCAAGGGTTCTGACAAGGCTTTGGCTGCTATTGATGACACGCTCTATACTTGGCCTGTGGGGCTAACTAGTTGCTCATGTGAGCCCCTCCAGATTCTGGGACTAAATATGTGCATGAGACTTTTCAAGTTCTTATTTTTTTTAAGTCTCTTTTTGGGGGGCATTATTTGTAGCTTTCTTGTCTAATGCCTCTTCTTGCCCATCCCTCATGGGATTTCTGGTTCTCAACATTATATCGCTTCAATATAGGACCTTGACTTCTTCAGCCTCAGCGCTCCCCAGCTGCCTGGCATGTGCATTGCCTTCCCGCAAAATATTTCTTGACGTTTTGCTCCATCCTTTGACTACAAGCCTTGTCTATGCTCCTCCCCTTATCTAAAACATGCTTCTGGCCACTGAACATGTGGTAATCAGTATATCCTGAGAGGCTTCCCTGTTCAGTGAATGGTTTCATCCTCTATTATGTTGCCTGAGACAAAAAACAAGAGGTTTACTAGGTTCCTTCTTCTTCCTCTCCCCATCATCTGCCCATTAGCAACTCCTGTCAATCCTATTACCAAGTATAATTCTCATATCCTAAGAGCTCACCATCTCTGCAATGACCACTCTCTAAGCCACCACCTGTTCTGGACATTCAAAGCAAACCCCTGGCTTGTCTCTCTATTTTCATATTTAACCCACACAAAACATTTCTCACTCAGCAGCCAGCATGATCTTTCTTTTAAAAGTGTAAAGCAGATCATATCAGTCCCTGCTTAACACCCACAGTGGTTTCTAATGGCTCTAGGAATATGGTCTCTGGTACCTCCTGAATAGCAAAGAAAATAACATCTTTCTTTGCTCATTATATTCTTTAAAATATGTTTTTATTGATTTTAGAGAGAGAGGAAAGAAGAAGAAGAGAGAGATAGGAACATCAATGATGAGAGAGAATTATTGATTTGCTGCCTCCTGAATGCCCCTACTGGGGATTGAGCCCAAAACCGGGCATATGCCTTGACAGGAAACCAAACCAATGACCGCCTGGTTCATGGGTCGATGCTCAACTAATTGAGTGAGCCACACCAGCTGGGCTGCACATTATATTCTTGATTGATAGGCCTTCTTTCTTCTCCTTAAACAACTGAAGCGTATTTTTCTCTGGGACTTTGCATTTGTTGTTCCATCTGTGGTATCCACTTAGTCCCAAATCTCTGCTTCTTCTTCTTTTTTTTTTTTAATATGCTTGTTATTGATTTTTTTAATTTTTAAATTTTATTTATTTATTTTTTTTTTTTTTTGAGAGAGAGAGAGAGAGAGAGAGAGAGAGAGAGAGAGAGAGAGAGAGAGAGAGAGAGAGAAAGAGAGGAAGGGAGAGGAAGAGGGAAAAACATCAATTGGCTGCCTCCTACACATTCCCTACTGGGGATAAAGCCTGCAATTTGGGCATGTACCCTGATCAAGAATCCAACCTGTGACCTTTTGGTGCTTGTGACAAGACTCAACCAAATGAGCTGCACCGGCCAGGGACCAAATCTCTGCTTCTTAAAATTCATGTCTAAGCTCAAATATTGCTTCCTCAAAGAGGGTGTCCTCAATCACCAGGCATAAAATACTCCCCTCACTCTAGTCACTATGCATTCATTCTATTAGTCTGATTTGTGTTCAATGACATTCTTATTTATAATCATTAGTTTATTGTCTAGCTCCCCCCACCCCTGCACACTAAAGAAATATATTCTTTTTCTTGTTAATGACTCATTGGATCCCCAGTGCCTAGATTAAGGCCAGCTTGTATATACTGGGTGTTTGAGAGAAATCTCAAGCGCTACTCCCTTCATGATAGCCCATAGATAGTCTTCTGGTATCTCCCATAAACTTACACACTGTTTCTTCCTTTAGAGTTGAAGCTTTTCAAGGGCCCCTGATCTATTCAACTTTTTACCCTTCAAAGTGCTTTTAGTGGGGCAGATGCTTAGTATATATTTACTAAATTCAATTATACTCTTTTTGTTGTTAAAGTAAATTGAATAACAAATTTAAGTAGTGCTGTTTAGTTCCAGAGAGAAATAGAAACAATTAGCAATGCCTTAAAGAGTTACCACACAGTGTGTTCATCTTCAGGCATTAATTCTCAGGTATGCTGTATTTCCATATTTTTCCAGCCAAGACCTCATTCTACAAAGTCTGTTAAATGTTGATTATTTCAAATTAAAGTAAGGAAGCAGAACTGGGAAACTGATGCACAAAGGATAAAGCTCATATCCCAGAGGTTTAATCCATACCTACTGTGTGTCATGGATTCCTGACACTCTCCTGGTAAGGGCATGGATTGGAGGAGTCAGGAAAGAAAGATAGCAGTCGTTCAGCAGAGAAAAAAGGAATGATAAAAAGGAGATGATGTTTAACATTCAACTTTCCAGTCAGGCTAAAGAGGATAAAGAAACTTTCTAAATCCCTGTAGTGGTATTGGTTATTGTGCTCTCCATAGCAGGTAAAGAAAAGACACTCTCAACCCTCTGTAATATGAAAATTGCTTTTAGTCACTCTCCCCAGGAAAGTAAGACACGTCGGCTTGGAAGTTGTTAGGCTGTCAATCCTATTGTCAGGCAAGTAGGACATTTGAATTCAGATGTGCTGAAATTTCATTTGGGGGGTTTTTGTCACAATCCCTAACATATGTAGAGACCTCTGGCTAGAAAATGAGTAAGTTTCACACATCAAATCTTTTTTCAAATATATTTTAAACAGCTCTTCTCAAAGAATTATGGAAACATTTTACAAATGGAGGTAGTCAGGAAGGCTGAGGACAGGTGAGAGGGAAGATAGGCAATTACTTCAGGAAAAACAATAGTCATTCACTTTCATAGCCAAGTAATTCTTCAATTTTCATTTGACACATATTAGTGATGAGAAAGGGCATCATGATGCTTTAGAATTTAGAATTGGAGTCAGAGGATTGGTTTAAGTTCTGGTTGGTTTGTCTATAGTTATGGCTATTTTTATGTGTCAACTTGGGTAGGCCAAGTTATTCAATCACATGTGAAGTAGGTGTTGCTAAAAAGGTATTTTATAGAAGTGGTTGACATCTACAGTCAGTTAACTTTACATAAATGAGATTATCCTTGATAATCTGGGCGGGCCTCATCTAATCAGTGAAAGGGTTTAAGAAAAACATCAACAACATTTTCCAGAGAAAGAAGAAATTCCCAATTTTGGACCAGGGATTAGCTTCTGGCTGGCGAGTTTCCAACCTGTTTCTGACTTGCCTCACAGATCTCAGATTTGCTTAGCCAGATTCCACAATTACTAATATATATATTAGAGGCCTGGAGCACTAAGTTAATGCATGGGGGATAGAGGGGTGTCCTTCAGCCCAGCCTGCACCCTCTCCAATCTGGGACCCCTTGAGTAATGTTGTGACCCACAGGTTGAGAACTGATGCTGTAGAGCCTATGACCATTAGAAAACACAAATATATGTATATTACGATTCATTAACAGTAGCAAAATTACAGTTATGAAGTAGCAATGTAAATAATTTTATGGTTGGGGTTCACCACAACATGAGGAATTGTATTAAAGGGTCATGGCATTAAAAAAATTGAGAACCACTGATCTACTATATGTTAAGTATGGCAGAATTTCACTTATTCTTTTTTTAATTCTTCTTTTATTCATTTGTTATTTCAGTTAACAAATATTCATTGGGCTCTTATTACATCCTAACTTATATTATAAAAGACCAATATGCAAATTGACCATCACTCCAACACACAAGATGGCTTCCCTCATGTAGTCAAAGCTGGCTGCCCCCATGTGGACACAAAATGGCTACCACAAGATGGCCTGCAGGGGAGGGCATTTGGAAGGAACCAGGTCAGCAAGGAAAGGCAGTTGGGTGCAATCAAACCTGCAGGGGAGGTTAGTTAGGGGTGGCCAGATCTGCAGAGGAGGAAAGTTGGAGGTGACCAGGCCTGCAGGGGAGAGAAGTAGGAAGGACCAGGCCTGCAAGGGAGGGCAGTTGGGGGCAATCAAGCCTGCAGGGGAGGGTAGTAAGAGGTTATCAGGCCTGCAGGGGAAGGCAGTTAGGGGTGACTAGGCCTGCGGGGGTGGGGGAGGAGGAGAGGGGAGAGAGACAGTTAGGGGCAATAAGGCTGGCAGGGGAGCAGTTAGGCATCAATCAGGCTGGCAGGAGAGTGGTCAGGGGGTGATCAGGCTGGCAGGCAGAAACTGTTAAGGGGCAATCAGGAAGACAGGCAGGCAAACAGTTGGAAGCCAGCAGTCCTGGATTGTGAGAGGGATGTCCGACTGCCTGGGATCGGGCCTAAATAGGCAGTCGGAAATCTCTCGAGGGGTCCCAGATTGGAGAGGGTGCAGGTGGGCTGAGGGATACACACCCCTATGCATGAATTTTGTGTACCAGGCCTCTAGTATTAGCATAATTCTGGAAGCTAAGAATATAGTGTAAAATTAGACAGAAGGGACCCCTGCCTCTCTAATATATATTCTAGTAGGACTCAAAAATACATAGGTTAAAAATATGTAATACAATTTCAAGTATGGATAAATTCTATGAAGAAAGATAAAACAGGGAAGAATGGTCAGGGCAGGTCTGGTAACACTTAAACTGAGAAGTGAATCATGAGAAGCATCAACTTTGCACATATCTTGGGGAAAGTGATTTCAAGTAGAATAAACTTGACATATTAGAGGGAAATAAAGAAGACAATTGGGCCTGTACCAGAGTGAACAATGGAAAAAGTAGTAAGGAAATGAAGTTGGAAAGGGAAGTGGAGCTCAGATTTTATGGGGCCTTGGGCCATCATGAAGAATTCTATTTAATGTTAAGTGTTATGGAAATATATGTATGCATTTTGAGTAGGGAATGCAGGTGTTTATGATAGATGCCGGGTGAATTATGGGCTCTGATGATGAGGGAAGTGGAAAGAAAATGAAGTTAGGGAGACTGCATAGGTGGCTATTAAACTAGAACAGGTGAGAGATGATGACTATCACTCAGGTGGTACTCATGGAGGAAATGGAAGTGAATGATAATCAGATGTATTTTATGAATAGTGATGTATGATAAAGCCTGAAATTAAGGTGCTTTTGCTTCCTTGACATCTTTGAGTTTCACAGGGCCCCAAAAACCTAAGTATGAGTTTCTCTATTGTTGCCAGATGTGCTTCCCAACCAGAAGCAAGAGCTCCCCACCTGGCTATTTCCTACATCAGTTGTACCAGCTATAATCCACCAGGTCTTCTACCTCACAGGTTTCACTTTCCTGCCAGTCTGTGAAATTATTAAAACAAGCTAATCACATCCTCCCACTAGAAACAAAGCCTGTTGCATGCTCTTATTTTACAGATCCTGTCCAAACCACCCTTACTTGTTCACTCTGCTCCTCAGTGGAATCCCCTTGTGACTCTGGATGGCATATGTTATCCTTTTGCTATGGGCTGTTGAGTATATATGACTAATGAACTGCTGCCACTTTCTGTCCAGTGTTGGCTATCATGTGTTTGGCTGTCTCTTATTATTTAAGGCAAGGAATCCCTGGCCAACAAATGACACCATCTGCACCTTTTACAAATTTTTGGACTGTTGTCTGAGTCTTGTCTCATTTTGAGTAAAAACTCTGGGAACCTCTTGCCCCATAGACACACAAGATGTAAATCAAGGTGACTGATGTCTATATACTAAAATAAGACTTCACTAGGACACTTTCCCTCTTTGGTATAGTTCCAGACATTAAGCAGAGCATTAATTTTACTTCTCAGAATTAACAATGCTAGACTCTTTAAATTGTTAAAAATATTTTAAATTAATTTTTAGAGAGAGAAAGGAAGGGAGAAAAAGAAAGAGAAACATTGATGTGAGAGTGCAACATTGATTAGCTACCTCCTGCATGCCCCTGCCAGAGATGGAGCTGCCAAACCTTTGGGGCACCCAACTGAGTCACACTGTCCAGGGCAACAATGCTAGGCTCTGGAAGAAGGCATTTGTTTTCACTGAGAAGCCTAATGAGCTCTCAAAAACTCAGATTTCAGTTATAAAGTGGCCAGTGAATCCTCCACTGGGTGTCACTGTTGCCACAAGCATTGATTAATCTAAATTCATACCCCTAAGGACATGGGCCCCTTGCTTTCATGCCCCACAAGTTGCCTTTATTGGCTCTGAAGTTTATGCTTTTGACAACCACCTGCCACCCTGCCACGTGGTCCTTTTCCTCTCGATCAGTGCCTATGGTGCTTCTGAGGGAGGCACTTCTGCTCTCTGAATATCTCAATCATCAAGGTTTAGGTTGCTGTCAAGATATAAAAGGGTTGATTGTGATGTAAGGGCTGAAGTTTAGATGCAATAATAAGTATGGCCTGGACATCTTTGAACTTCACAGGGTTCCTCCAGTAGTTGTTCTGTTCTTGCCAGATATTCTCCCCATCCACTAATTTCCACCAGTATTTGAACTGAGCCTTGTTGAAAATATTCCCATAACTTGTTGGTTTAGGTTTGTGCATTGCAGGAGAAGAAAATGGCAAACTAAGACAGAAAGGTAGAGAAGTCCAGAAAGACATGTGATTTGGTACTGATTGGAAATAAGAGGCAAGGCTGTAAACATATGCCAGGACCTTCTTAATCAAAGACTCTAAATACTAAGTCCATGTCCAGAGATTAAATCTTATTAGGAAGGATTTAACCAGCAGTGATGAAGGCTAAGTGTTCAGAAGGTTGCTCTCAGCTGTGAAAGCTCCAGTCTGGGAGGGATGGAAGTTGTGAGAACAGGAATTAGTTCTTGCAATTAGTTGTTGCAATTAGATTTTGTCAGAAATGATGAAGTTCTTACCTATAATGGAATCAGAAAGGGATGTGAGACATTGCAGGAAGAGAGTAAAAACCATCTGAACATGTCTTGGTGGTTAAGAGAGAGGTGGTGGGGTGCTAATGACTTAAGGTGTTCATGTCTGGAAAACACTAGGAGATTGGGTAGTTACCAGCAACTATGAAGATCCTAGGAGAAGAAATAGGTCTGAGTCAAAGAGGATGATTTTTAATTTCAACATGTTGAGTTTCGGGTGAGGTTATGAATTATAAATTGAGGTAGTTGGAAGTAGGGGATACCTGCTGGGAAGAGCCAGTTCCAGTTATCAGCATAAATAGAGAAGTGGCATCAATGGCAGAGGTGACCCTGGAGGAAGCCCTCTGACCTCAGTTCCACCCACTTCTCCTTACTCCACTTTGGCCATACTGACCTCAGGTCTGGGAACTCAGTATGCACCCTCTCACCTCAGGCCTTCCTACTTGCTCTTTCCACCACCTCTGTTGTCTCCAAAATCTGCATGGTTCACCACCCCTCTCACTTACTCAGATCTATGCTGCAATATTCCCTCATGCAGAAAGTATTCACTGATCATTCTATACAGAATGGTACTCTTTCTTCCATCTGTCATTCCCTGTCACCTTGCTATACTGTTTTTTAAAAGCATATATCTATAATAATAAAAGCATAATATGCTAATTAGATCAGTCAAACGTCCTTCTGGAAGTCCTTCCTGACAAAGCTGTGGTAGATGAAAGGGCCAGGAGCAGGCAGCAGCTAGGTGATGGGGGGCGGTGCTTTCCCCTGATTGGCCCAGTGGTCTCCCACAGAGGGAGGCCAGACTGTGACTTAGGTCTGCTCCCCACAGGGAACAGGCCTAAGCAGTCAATAAGACATCCCCTCAGGGATCCCAGACTGTGAGAGGGGGCAAGTTAGGCTGAGGGACATATTATATATGCTTCTAGTCCTATATAATAAAAGCTTAATATGCAAATCGACCGAATAGCAGAATAATTGGTGGAATGACCAGTTGCTATTATGTGCACTGACTATCAGGGGACAGATGCTCAACGCATGAGCTGCCACCAGCCCACAGGCCCCAGGCCAGCCAAGGTGGGTGCCAATGGAGTGCTCCCCGCCCCCAATCACCTCACTAGGTAGTCACCCCACAGATTGGCACTCATTGCCAGACAGGCCAAGGGACACTACCCATACACGAATATTGTGCAATGGACCTCTAGTAAATAATAAACATTTATATTTTGTGTGTCACTATCCCTATTAGAATTTAAGCTTTGTGTAATGGGACTTTTAATTAATGCTCAATCCATGTGTCTGATACATAGTGTATATAGTGTTGTTATGGATTATATGATGGCAGGGGAGATGGGAGGGTGAAGAGAAAGAGAAAGAGAGAGAGAGAGAGAGAGAGAGAGAGAGAGAGAGAGAGAGAGAGAGAGAGAGAACACACTAGGAATGGGAATGAGAATGGCATTTGCCAGTGGCAAGTAACACTTTGGTTGTACTCAGTATTGGACATCTTATCTTTCATCCCTTTATGTTGGTGGCATGATTTTTCCATGAATGACTGCCCTGTCCCCTGGCAGTACACAGCAGCCTTGAGTTTACTTTCAGCTCTTTGTGGTATGGGATTTAGGACTGGATAGTCAAGATATCAAGTTCAAGGTGACTGGTGCAGGGATACACACTTGACTCACTTCCTAAAATATCAGTAGAAGGCAGTGTAGCATGGTGATTAGGAGTACAAACTGAATCATAACTATTGGATCCAAATGCTTTCTTTGTCACTAACTAGATGAATGACTTGGGAAAGCTACCTCACTCTATATCTCAGGATAATACAGAACCATTATGCAGATCAAATGAGTTAATATAAGGAAAACTCTTAGCTCAGTTTCTGGCAGAGGAGGACTCTATAAGTTATCATCATCTGTTGCGAAAAGAAGAGTGCTCTTTTCTGTTGAATTCAAAGCAAAGATGCTGTCTGTATTCTTGGGCCTGCTGAGGACCATCTTGCCACCATATGGAACCAGGGAATAAAGCCACATGGACAAGAACTGAACCAGAAGATGGAGAGATACTGACTGTTGATGATATTTCTGATTTGCCTAAGTAAATATCTGTCAGTTGTAATGAAAGATGTATAATCAGAAAACTTCTAGTAACATTTCCCTTCAGTTTGAGAGCAGTGCATCCCTGCTCTCTCACTTCAGTTGACTCTGTGACTTGTAATTGTATTTCTCCTTCTCTAAGTCTCTTCTGTTAACATCTCCCAAGTTATGAAAGCACAAACCAAACAAACAACCTGGTTGATGGTGGGGGTTTTTTTTTTGTAATTGTTTTTATTGTCCCCTAGACTCCTGGCTGCTCTCCTGCTCTGGGGCACAGAGAAGAGGTCTCAGAACTCCATTCATCCCCTTTGTCAGAGTCATAGCAAAGTCAGCCCCTCATGTCCTTTGTTCTAGGCTTCACTCTCGGCCTTGTCTGTTTTGTTGCTTTTCATACAGAAAATACATAGTTTCTTCCATATCATTTTTTTTTTGGTCTCTGCACTCCACTGTTATATACTGCTTTAGAATGGGGAAGAAAAGAAGATGGGAAAGGAAAACACAGATGTGTGCCAGCCAAATCCATATCTGATTCTTGCCTTCTCTGAATCCAGGGTTATGATCCTGCTACTGTTCCTCCAAAGACTATTCTTTCTGTATCCCCCATCTCAGTCCACTTTTACCCTCAGGGAAGGAGAGAACTTTAGGGGCTATTTATGTTAGCTTTAATTATTGATATTTTCTCTCAGAATTGCATACATTCAATTCCTAACACAAGGTTTGGACCCTGTGGGTGATCAGTGTTTGCTCCAGGCAAAGAAGAGGAGTTGAATGCACAGAATCATTGTGAACTGTGTAAGAAGAATCACCTTAGCACAGGAAAGAGGTGAGAATCATCTGAGAGGAAGTTGGGAAATGAAGAAATGATCTGCAGCCCTTGGGAAGGGAACTGATGAAGAATTTCAACCAGAGATCATGAAAGGACTGACTAGCAGCAGGACTGCCATTCTTAGGGGTTGTGCCACCCCTCCACAAACTGGCCTTTCTGACCTCCCCAATTTTTTGTCAGTCTACTCTTTCCTCATCTGCTTATCTAGCCACCTGGGTTTCTCTGGGTCCTCAGCTACAACAAGCTCTATTTGACCTGTGGGCCTTCACAGACCGTTTTCTCTGTGCACAGCAAACTTCTATTTTCTGGCTTAGGTGTCTTTTTTCTGGGCAACTTCACTCCCTTCAGACCTGGTTAGCTCCTCCTGCCATTTGTGCCTATAGTTCCCTAAACTTGCCCACACATTTGATCTTTGTTATTTCTGTAATTGTATTCTCTACTGCTAGCTTATGGGCCTCAGAAAGACCAGGATGGTGTTTATTTTGCATTGATCACTGCTATAACCCAAGGACCTAACACATTTTCTGGCCATATTAGTCACCCAGTAAATGTTTGTTGAATTAATAAATTTGGTGTTAATCCTAAAATATTCTTAAGGCAAGAGAAAATAATTGTAGATCTTTTCTTTTGCAATGTAATTATACCTGCTTACTTTGTTGCTTTCTTTCTACCTAATAATGATAGGTGAGGAGATCAAGTCCAATATATATTTATACGTAGCATGTCTGAGCAAGAGCAGTCAGCATAGAATCAACCAAAGAGAATGCTGTCAATATAGGTTCTTGCCTTGAGGAAACAAAAATTGGGATAGTAATCCATTTAACTATAATGTGATATTTTTCTGTAATATGAAAATATTTTTTTTCTCCAAAGGGTAACTATGTGATCCAGAAAATTACTTCAACTTTTGGTTTCCCATTAGGAGCAGGTGCGTGGATGGAGTCAGCCACTGACTGCCTTATTGGGCCTGAATAATCTAGTGATCTAAAAGCAGTTGCTTCTGCAACCAATTGCTATACTTGTCTCCCCACTTATCTAGTCTCAGAAAATCATTTTCTATTACAGTAGAATGTGTGTTCTCTCCCTCTGACCTCTGACCTCTGCAATCTTAACAGGAAGAGTAGACAGAACAGAACTGGAAATCCATGTAAGTGGAAGGAAGAGAGAGACAGAGGCACTCATAAATGGAAGAGAAGCCCTTTACCATAACAAGTTGCACTGCATAAAAGGATTTGTGGGTGCATAATAGCTTTCTCTCTAGTCTCCTTCTGATACTTGGTAATTCAGTTCATCATAGCTACTTATCTACCTTTGCCAAGGAATTACAAAAGAAGCAGAGAGAAAACGGCAAATGAGCGAATGCCTGAATTTGACAATCACAGATAAAGTTAAAACAATGATGACTGGTGCTTGTTTAACAGCTATCAAAGTTGATGTTTGAAGCTTATGGTGCTTTAATTAATGAGATGTTTGAGTAGAGAAACAATGGCATTCAAGTTAAGTTCAACTAAAGACTCAAAATACCTTTATGTCTTTTTGTTTTTATCTTGTCTTCCAGGGACAGACTAAGAGAAATCTGTTCTTAGTGACAGTGTCTATGACAACAAACTCATTTCATTTTCTTACTTTTATGCACATGATAGACAACACTGAGAAACTTTTGATATCTTTTCTACATGCATAATTAAGCAACTGGAGACTGCCTTTCAGTCCTCAAATGATTTGAACCAATACCAGGTTATCCTGGAATTTAAGGGTAAGACTGTGTGTAGGGACTGGACACAGTTAATAAAGCAGGGACACAAGCATTATGACTAAAGAAGAACTGTGTTGACCTAATCTTTTTTTTTATCATCACTATTGAATATGTTTTGATTGATTTTAGAGAGACAGTAAGCGGGAAAGAGAGAGAGATTTTAAAAAAACTTAGTAAATGTCTGCCTCTTGCATGTATCCTGACCCTGGATCAAACCAGCAACCCAGGCATATGCCTTAACAGAAAATTCAACTTGCAACACTTTGGTGCACAGGGCAATGCTCCAACTGAGTCTAATATCGAGTCTTCTTCTTCTTTATAAGGTTCAACTCTGGTCTTTGATGGGAGAATTTATGGATTCAGGAAGATTAATTCTAAGACAAGCAAGAGAGGGTGA